TGCTGAACTGTGTCACGCACAGTGGTTTGGGTGTTCACAAAACATGACCACAAGCAACATTTTGGCCACGTGACCAACGAGCACACACACAAACACACTAACTGACACACAGACACACACAAACACTTGCAAGTCACTAAAATCACTTGCAATAGTTGCTGTTGTTGTTGTTGCTGTTGTTGTTGTGTACACGTCTAATGTATGCCAAAAAAGGAGAGCAAAGCAATTAAAACCACTGTGTGTGTGTTGCGGGGAAAGGGACAGAGGAACAAAGGGACACAGGGGAGAGGGGAGAGGAGGCGCTGCGACTTTTTGACTTTACTCCAACCGTCAACAGAGGGCGTTAGAAATACTCAAGCAATGCGTAGAAAAAAAGCGCTCAACGCACACATTCACCGTTCTTAGCGTTTGTTCACCACGCGCGTTTTAAACTTGAAAATCGAAATCGAAATCGCAAAATTTTGTCAGTCGCTTTTTATATGTGTTTTGTTTAACAACATAGTGGTTTTTATTTTTTATTTTTTTGTGTTAGCTGCTCTGAGTTTTGTGCTTTATTTAACACTTTGTATTTGTTGAAATCGATACGAATTCTGTTTGATTCTATTTTGACTTGATTTAAGCATTTAACGTCGTTTCGCCGAATTACCGAACGCGATTTGTGCGCGAGGCAAGCGTCTGCATTTTTGCATATGTACAAAACACTCCGACGGCTGAGCTTCAACTAAAGCTGCAATGCTCAGCGAACGCTTCGTTTGCCATTCGCCAGGCAGCGACGCTACACGAAGGACAACGACGATGGCAATCGAGACACGAAAACGAAAACGAAGTCGAAGCCGAGCATTTTGCTTTGCTGAATACGAATGAGTGCAGCACGAGAGGAAGAGAGAGAGAGAGAGAGCTGTGAGCAGCGAAAGCTTTCGGCTTTTTAACAGAACAACAGCAGCAGCAACAGGAGATCAATCAGCTGAAAATCAAATAACGGAAATTCGCAAAAATTATGTAAACATTGGAATATAAGAGCATCATATAAGAGTAGCGCAAACAGAGATAAGACATAATATATTTTAATTAAAACAATTTATATAGTTATTTATTTAGGCTGATCGGTGCTTTGATATATTTTCAATAATATCGAAAAAGAGTGAGAAAGAGATATTTCTTCTATTCGCGCTTGTTGCGCTGCTAAAGAGACACCATTAGCGCCACCTACTTGTGAGTTTTGCATGTATAAGAGAGTACTTCAAATAGGTATAAATGGTTTGTGTCTCGGTTATGGATATGTTAACAAGTGCTGTTAAATAACTCAACAATTATGTTTATATTGCAATATTAATAAAAAATAACAAGTAAAATATAATAATTCATTGTTTAATAATTATATATTTTCAATCATAATAGTTTTAGTTTAATACACATTGACTACATATAGTATATTATATTATATTTATAATATTATTTAACATGTTTGTCAGATTTATATTTTAAAATCTGCACATTATTCATTGATTGTTGCTTCCAACACGACTCGCATATTAACTGGGATATGCTTCCAAAGTGGCTTCCACTCAATTGTTGTGCAATTAACTAGAATATTGCTCAACACTGAACACACACACACACACACACTCAAATGCATAAATATTTGCATTTGCTGACATATTACACAATCACATGTATCAATGCATGCATGTGTGCGTGTCTATGTGTGTGTGTGTGTACGTCCATCAAGTGAGCTGCTTATTGCCTTGCTCTCACTCTCTCTGTCACTCTCCAAGCAGTCAATGCAATCACTCAAAGTACAAATTGTCATCAAGTTTGTCAAAGAAGCTGCTAAAAAGAAGAAATGGCAACAACAAATAAAACAAACTCAAACTATAAATTATGTTACTGAGATTGCCCGGCTGCCGAATACCCTGTTTTGGAATTAAATTTACTAATATTAATACTATTATTATCATTGTTAGAATTAGTAAGACTATTACTATTGTTATTAATATTATTATTATTAAAATTATATATAATTGTCATTATTTTTATTATTATTATCATTATTATTCTTATTAGTATTTTTACGAATATTCCCTGCATTCCAGCTAAAAACCCATAAGACATTAAGCGAAACAGACACACGCCAATATTGCGTCAATTACAGGGTATTCCAAAGAAAGTAGCTGTGAAAACGAATTGCAACAAAATGCTCAAACACACTCAACAAAATTGACTTAAATAAATAAATGGCATAAAAACAATGGCAAACACATGATGTTAGGGGTGTGCGGGGGGGAGAGAGTCTCGGGAATGGACAAGCACACAGCAAGCTGGAAAGCAGAATGCAAAAGACAATTTACAGCTAAGAAAGATGGAGGAGGTTAAGCAGGTTAAGTGAGGGGAAGTGGGCGGTTGCTTGCTTGTTAGTTTGTTTGCAGCAAGTCGCATTTCATTTGATGCAGTCAATGCGCTGCATGCAACAACGCCGGCAACATTTAGTAGCTCATCCATTTTCATTTGTATTAAGCGAAAAGCCAAAAGTGCCGTCAACTTTTCACCAGCCAATCTCCCTCTCTCGCTCTCGCATTACTCAGCAGAATTTCGACAACAATGCTAAACAAGGCAAAAAATTGCAGCTTGCACTAAACCTCCCTCCTCCCCTCCACCCTCCCCTGGTTCTTACTCTTCACTCGTCCAACTCGTCAGCTGCTGCTAAGAAAGAGAAGAAGAAGAAGACGCTCGTTAGCGCAGCTGCCTTTGAAATTTATCTTATTTTCCATGACATTCGCCTTTTTATTCTGTACTTCTTTTGCTTATCTCCCATTTATTTATTATTTCTTGTCCCTTTCTTGTCTCGCTTTTTCCTTTCGCCTTTGGACATATTGCCAGTCAAGTGATCGATGCAAATTGATGCCGTATTCTTAATGGGACTCAGAAAGTAACCCAAAGTCTGACTGAATAAAATAATGTTGTACGGGATTTATCAACCATCTCCTAAGCAACATTAACAGTAATCTCATAATATTTAAAATCAACTAAATTTGGTTTTTCTGGTTTTGGTTTCGATTCAAGCATTTAAGATATGGGATATCTGTGTGTTTATCGATGTGCACTTATAGATCTTATCGATCTTTGTTCTTCTACATAGAAATTAATTGGAATGTTCTAGTCGAGATAGCTCGACTGGGAGATGCACTGAACCGAGACTTATCAGTCCAGCTGATAATATCTCGTTGAAAATTAAATAAACTTGATGCCGACTACTATTAGTCGTAACAGAAAAATACAAAATTAAAACAAAATATTACATATTATTTTTAATTTAAATTTGAAAAATAAAAAATATTTACAATATTTTGTTTCAATGCTTTCTTCTTCTTCTGCCTGTTACACACCTTTGCACAACTTTATTATCAGCTTATAATATGGATCGCAATTAAAATAAATTTGTCTATTATTTAGTAATTAAAATAAATAAGTAGAAAACGCGATACTTGAAATCAAAAATGTGAGTCTCCACTTCAGTTCTAAAGCGCAAAAGGAATAAATATAAAAATAAATATATTTTTTTCTTATTTTTGGCATATTTTTCAACAGATTTATTGAAGCTGACGAGAACAACAACAACAACAATCAGAAACAACAAACGGGCCAAAAAGTGCAGCAGTTGTTGGCAAATAACAGAACAAACGACAAAACGACAGAATCCCATAACAACAGCCAGCAGCAAGAACATAAAAAAAAAAACAAAAAAACAAAAATAAATAAATAAATATCATAAATAAGAGGCGCTGCAATTTGTTTATATCAAAAACGCGCCCAAAGGTCCTGCACTCAGATTTCAGCATTCCAAATGCCGAATGCTAACTGCCAACAACAATAAGTACAAACACAACCCCCAAACCCCAATCCGTCTGCCCCTCGCCCCCTTATCAACCCCCGGCCACCGACTAATGCCTGGCCTGCTGTTTTGTTTGAATTATGCGCCTTCCGTTGCATGCGGCGTTGCATCAGCTCAGCAACCGGAGCCGAAGGAGTCGACTTTCTCAGCCTCCATTTCGTTTTCGCAATAATGCCATGATGCGCCTGGCTGCATATTTTTGAAGTCAGCAGGGAATACCTACCTACCCCTCGACTCCCTTCCCTTCCCTACCCTGCTGCTGCTGCTGCTGCAGCTGTCTGCCACTCTCTTTTTTAGTCCTGCATATTATTTTTACAGCCGCCCACAACAAACGACGCTCGTTTTTATAATAAAAATGTCATAAATCTTGATTTCTGAGTCTAAAGCAAAAAGCGTGCAAAACCAGCAAAGCTGTAGATGTATATATATATATATATGTGTGTGTGTGTTTGTGTGTCTCTGGCAATATAACTGTCTATTTATAGTTGTGCATATGAAGTACATTTTATTTGCTTTTATTTATTTGCACACGCTTAAACATAATTGATTTATATACCCAGAAAATTCGAAACACGTCGGAGAGCCAAATTCTGCACGAAATCATGCTGCTCTTCTCCAAGAGACAAAGACAGAGAGAGAGAGAGAGAGAGAAAGAGAGAGAAATGGGGAGATTTGCATTGATTGACCGTTATTAAGAATATCTTTTTATTTCTCTAGTCACAATAACTTTCCAGTTTTTAAGATCTTTGAAATCTACAAGCTTCAACAAAAAAAAAACTTACTCTTAGAAAAATGTTCTAGGTTTTAGAAATAATTTCTTAATATACAATAAAATAATTCTAAAAATTGGTAAGTCCTTTTTATTTTCCAAAAATATAAATCTTTACAAGTATTTCTGAAAAGGGGAAAAGTAATGAAATTTTCAATCTTTACTGCTATGCAAAAGATTAGCTGGCGTCTGCCTTAGAGGCCGAGATTCGAAGTTTCATGCTTGCCTCAAAAACCCCCTCTGCATCTAACAGTGATAAAAATATGAACATTTTCCCAAATTGGTTCAGTCTGAAATTCAAAACAGAGGAATCAATTCAACTTAACCAAAACGTATTCCTTGTTAAATATTATAGATGCAAATTTATTTGTTGGATTATATTCAGATAAAGTCCGGAATTGTTGCACTTGTTGCAATATATATTTAGAACATCGTCACAGCTTAAAAAAAAACATAGCTTATACGCATTATACAATAGATCGTTAAGCTAATCGTTACATAAACTGGCATGGAATTCATATTAGGATTAAATAGAATTAATTCAAATCAATATCTAAAATGATCACCCTAATCTGTGTTCGTCGTGTGGTAGATTAATCGTATCACAAGTGAGAACATGACGTCACAGTTTACAACAAATTTTGTTTAACTTAAACATTTAAAATAATTTAATTAACTTAAGTGAATTACATTTAGCAAATTTGTATAAGTACGTCAGGTAAATTACGCGATGATGTCAATTATTTTAAAAACAAATTTAAGTTCTCTTTCGTATTTTTCTTTTTTTAAATTAAAAAATTATCACAAATTGTTTTGTAGCATTCTTTTTTTGTTTTTGTTGGTTTGTTTGTTTGCTTGTTGTTGTCAATAAGAGTTTGCTGAATTGTCAAGAATTCACTGGGAAGCCCTCAAGGCTTTCATTACTGCCACGCAGACGCTGATCTCTACCAGTGATCCATGTCGCGTATGCGTTCCACTGGCGGATTACTATGCAAAAATAAAGAGTCAATTTAATATTTACACTTTGATATGTGTGTATTTAACTCACGGCAACATTCGAGCCATCGCATGTTTATGCAACGGCGAAATTTGGACCGTCGCCGAGGCAATACTGGAGCCGGAGTCCTGCGACAGGGTGCGCTGCATGTGATGCATGGGATGCGTCACAATCGGACCGCCGCCGCCCACAAACTGCAGCTGCTGCTGATGATGATGCTGGTGCGGCTGCTGTGTCTGCTGCTGATGCAGTTGCAGCTGCGAATGTGCATTGCGCAACGTGTGCGATTGCGAATGTTGAGGCTGTTGCTGTAGCTGTTGCGAACGGCGGAAGGGATGACGCCACGGACTCTTGGGCGCATCGCCCTGGAAGGCCTTATTCTCGACGCCGCTGCTCGAGACGCCAGCGGGACTGCCACGACGCGGCACTGTGCCGCCCTGCATGTCGCGCGCCTTGGAGCTGAGGCGTCGCAAAATCCGTGATCCCAATCCGGGTGGATCCTCCAAGCCGCGACTATTGCGCGGCTTGCGATAGCGCACATCGCTTGACTCTTCCAGGATAACGTGGCGATCGTAGGGTGTACCATAATACACCTCCAGCACTGTGGAGAACGTGTGCGGCCACACCAGGTCAATTATCGAGATCAGCACGCCGACAATAAAACACAGAATACCTATTAGAACAGAAAACAAATCGAATATATATGACATTAAAGACGACTCCATATCAGCTTGGTATATTTATAACATGGCCATTTCATCCCATTAACTCACCCGCGACAAGGACCAGCCAGTAGCACCAGCCAAAGTGGAACTCGAGGCGACCACCTTCTAGGAATATGCAGAGCGGTCGCTGTGGCAACAGGCAGTGGTAGCCAATGGCGGTGCAGACAAGCAGGGCACCGGTTAGGGCTTTGAGGTAGGCGCCGTAGCGCGGCACCGCCAGCAGCAGCAGGTTCATCAGCAGCCAGGAGGCCAGCGAGGCCCACAGCATAATGCTGGCAAAATAGCCGGCGGCGCGATATTGACCACCCCAGGAGAAACCTTCGCGGCCCAGACTAAAATACTCGGCCACGGTGAGAATGGGGAAGGGCAGACCCCGCTGTAAGGCCAGTCGATAGTTAGCGCTCATATCGTTGGCGCCCTCCCAAGTGAATCGTTCGTTGTAGTCAATATCAGGCGGTGTCCAGTTACCAATCGGAATGGCTGTGAAATATGGATCGAGAGTGAACAAATTAATATTATGTTGATGTTAAGTTAATAACGTTTAGCAGTTAACAGTGGTGTAATTAAATCTATAACAGTACCCTATTGCATGGCCTGTTAAGTCACAATAACATTTCTACATCTACATCCAATTCATAAGCTTATGTTATGTTGATGTAAAAATAACATTCAGTGGCTAACAGTGAGCCATAATAACATTTAGAATTTTAACAGTTCCTTTTAGTATAACTCTCGAGTGGAGTCAATTTGCAGATACACTAAATCGAACTTACTTCGTTGGTATCTCTTGTTCCATTGTTAAATAATATTTGAAGTGAAATAAATATTCGATATTAAAATAAAGTCCCTTCCTATATTTTACAATGCATTTCTCCGTTTCGATTACTTCATTCTTTCAAAAAAAAACTTTACAATTCAATATAAATTTTAAATTAAAATTAAATATGGACGCAAAGCTGAGAAGGAAGATAACCATGATAAACAATTCGAAACAACAAAATGTCAAATCAATGTAGATTTGACGGAAGTATAAGCATTTAAAATAATGGTAAATTCCAACCATTGTATATTTAAAAACAAATAAATAACATTAAGAGGCAAATTGAAGAAGAGAGAAACCCATGATCAGAATGTTTGTGGAAGTGTTATTTGACTTTGTGTTCAAATTAAGTAGTTCCCAATTTAATTCCAAATTGTGATTGACACAATTAAAATGAATGGAAATTTACTTCATAATTTTGTCATATTTAGATGCAAACCTACTTTGCATATATGACTAAGATTAACGCGAATTCTTGCTTTGAACTCACTTGAGTCATCTTTTATATATATTTTCTACGGTATTCATGCCCAATGAAGCATTCTCTTACGTTTTCTTGTTGACTTTCAAATAATAAAAAAAAAGAAGAAGAATTCCCTGCCTTTTACTTTAAAACGCCGCCAAAAGAGATCGTCTCTCATCATGCCTATGTTTGTTATTCATTGTTGCTTTTTTTATTTTATTTTATTTTATTTTTTTCTTGGATCATTCTTTGTTTGTGTTGTTTTAAGTTTGTCTTTTTGTGCATATTTTGCCAGTCGGTGGCAGACACTTTGGCAACATGCGCGCCATCGCTGCGAATAAGAAACGAAACAACAAACTCAATAATAATATATCATGCTAGCTTTTGATGAAGCAGACCCTATTTAACTGTTAAAAAATTAACACAAACAACAAAATCAAGCCGAAAATTAGAAACAAGAAGATTAATGGTTTGCATAAGCTAAAATGCTATCAGAATTAATACCAATATCGGATGAGAATGAGAAAAGCGTAGGTTTTGAGGAGCAACAAAAATATTAAATATGTCGCTCTGAAAGGTCGCATTTAAATTATGTCTTTCGCATTTGCTGATATAAAATATATAAGCGTTGCAAATTTGATAAATATTTTGAACGACTATTGAGTGCTTGATTTTGTAGAGGAGCGCCTCGCAAATGCGGAATCTTTTTGCTCAAGTTGTTTGGTCGTACAAAGCAAACAAAAATAATGTCGATAAATTATGCAAATTGTGTGCCAAACTAGTTAGTTGAAAAAATATCAAAATGAAAACATAGTTAAGAGGATGGCTTAATTAGTTTATTAATTAATTGCGTTAAATAATAATAATAATAATATTTGAATGGGTAAATATACTGTTGATGTTATTATGCTATTATTTTTTATAGATTTCTTCAACTTTCAACTGGAAAATTAAGATTGAGTTATTCCTAAGTTTACATATTTCAAACGATCGAATTTTCACTTTTATGTATTCGAAAAGCTTAAATCTTTATTTTCCTTAAAATGTATTAAAAAATAAAACCAATTTTAAAAGCAGTAATATAGATATATAATCACAATATTTGTTGAGTTCCTAGAACTTGCGCATTGACCCTCGCAATAGATACACGCAGAGACACACATACAAGATTGGCAGCGGGCCCAAAAGCGCGTGTGCTGTGTGGTAAACCGGAAAATGTTGACGAATGTTAACAAAATATGCAAACAGTTGCTGATTTTGTTTTTGTTATTTTTGTTGCCCACCGACTGCAATTGATTATGCGATTTTGCTGTTGTTGCTGTTGTTGCAGTTTAAGAGCCGCTCACTCTTGACTTGACTTGGTGTTTAGTAATAGTTGTTGTTGTTGTTGTTGTTGCTGCAGTTATGTAAGGTTAGCTCGCGTTAACGTCGAGCCATTGACAATGAATTGCAAGTGCGAACAGCGTGCAACGTGGGCTGCAAGGAGAAGGAGGAGGAGGAGCGGTGTGCATTGCGCACACATACGTTACGCATACGCCGCGTGGCCGTCACTTTGACGCATTTGCAGCAGCTGCAACAATTTCCGGCTGCGACAGGAAGTGATTTTTCAATTGCATTAAATAACTGCGAAGGTTGCACAATTTGTTATTGCTGTTGCTCTTGAGGCAAAGTGTTGAAAATTGTTGTTGTTGCTACTACTAAGTAGTTGCAAGGCGTTGTGGCCTGGGCGCCTGTCAAATGAACCGTTGAATTGGATGCTTGTCAAGAGGCTGCAGCCGCTTAGATTTCAGTCTCATTGTGTGTTGTGCAACACATGATTAATTCAAATTTAGTGAAAGAAAATTCGATAATAAATAAAAAAAAGAATGTGATTCAATATTTTTGTAGCAATTTTTAAATTTAATAATAGCTTGAAAGTAAGAAAGTTAAAATTGTCGTTAAAGTATGTAAATTTTGTTTGATTGAAATGAAAACGACAGCTATTACTCAATTCTTTGCTTTGGATACCTGCAGTCCGTCTCTCTCTCCGTCCCTCGAGACTTTGCTTACTTACTTTAACTTTTTTAGTTTTTTTTTTAGCTATTACTTAACATTTGAATTAAAATACCCATTTTAAATGCATACGCTTCTCTTAACTCCTATGTACAACATGACTTTTTTTTAATATGCTATAAAAAGCACAAAGATATTGTATAGAAATATATAATATTTGTTCATTATTGCATTAAATGGGTCAATGCTCTCCATTTAGTTGTACAATATTTTCCATAACTACGTGATGGAAATACATGTATTATAAGAAATAAGGGCTAAGGGGTATTATTGAAACACACACAGAAAATCATACTAAGAGATGCAAACAGCTCACGAGTGGCCAAGATTTGTAATAGTAACTTAATTGTTCACAAAACCGTGGAAATAATATTTGAGCACTATACGGAAGAGATTAGCATAGACGATAGCTTCACCATCGCTTGCTTGTGTAGTAGCAGTAATAGAATTTATCGAAAAGATATCCGTGAAAGAGCGAATTTTGTTCTGAAATCGAATAAATTGGTGTTACTCTGGAACTGGATCTATAGAGTAACACCAAGTCGAGCAATCCGTTTCTTTTCTTTACTTATTACAAACTCTTTCCAAACGGTATCCGTAGCCTTTCTTATATACCTTTCACATTCGCTATATTATTGACTTGCCCTTCATAACTGATCAATATCTGCATTATCAAAGCTTTAATCCGCAGCCTACGAGCCAATAATAAGCATTCTAAATCGCTCAGCAAATTGAACCGGTTCCACGCACAAAACACATGCGTAAACAAAAGACACAAAACAAATGTGTTGATTTTCAATCAGCCACCAACTGGGAAATCATATCAAGTCAACAGTTTAATGACTTTTTATGATCGATCGCATACGCTGCATAGACACTCAACGCATTCTTGTTCCGATTCGATTTTAATTCATTCTTTTTTTGGTTTTTCCTCTTTGGACGCATTTTTTTCGTGTTTGAAGCTCAACCTTGTGCCGAGTTTAAGGCCATTTTTAAAGTGTCGTTAACATTTTTGGAGCTGCTGATTTGACAATTTATGTAATTGTCAATGGGAACAAGAAAAAAATAATATACCTATATGGCAAATAAAAAAACTATTGAACTTCGGCGTATGCCATTCACATGTTGATACTCAATTAATTCGTAAGCTCATTTCGGTCTGTATTAAATATTGGGCATAAATTTGAGACGTTTTATAAGCTGATTACTCATACGCCAGTATGAGTCGTGTGGGAAAATACACTCTTCAGCCCGTGGGAATTTCTGAACATTTTTCAAATTTATCAGCGCAATATGCTAAAATTTTAGCGCAGAGTGATTCAATCTTCGTATATACTCGTATTGTGTTAAATTTGAGAAAAGGTGTGATAATATATTAAATTGTGCCTAAGTCTTAACGAATATATTTTTTTAATTCATAATTCAAGCATTTCATATTTTGTTATTTAGAATATTGACATTTAGATAATATCTCAAGATCATTATTTACCTTTATCCCCTCTACTAATTCAATTCTAGAATTCTTGCGACGTATACATTTCTTAAATTGATAATTTAGTAATCTTAACTAAATTGTAATATTTAATACGTTGTAAGTAGAGAGCCAAAATTATTTTGTCTAATCTAATCTTTTAATATATGCTATTTTTATAATTAATTTTTCACATTAATTAAGATTTTTTACAAATATCTAGATAAAGTTAATTCGCTTCTCACCTTTATCACTAATAGAGAATTCTTAAGATTTTTTACTGTGGCAAAATTCGTCTTCACTTTTGAGAACATGCAGTAAATTCCCTTCTATGATGAAAAGAACAACGTCATCTCGTATACTTGAATCATTATCATTAACAAATTAAAAATCCCAAATACGAATAAAAAAACTTCCTGAAACTTGAGCGTACAAAAATTAAACAGATAATACAACAAAATAAAGAGAATAACGACAGTCACAACAATAAGAATAACAAGACAACATTAAGTAGGATAACAAAAAAAAAATTACTATATCTGCGGCAATAAAATGAATATTTTCCTACTTGATGCTTAAAGCACAGACAACGAAGCAGCTCGCGCTTAAGTACAGTACAACAACAATAACAATGACAACAATGACGTACGCTTAGTAACAAAAAGGTTGAATAAATATATGTCTATTTTTTTAAGCTATGACTTTTCATAATTTTAAGTGATGATTATGCTGATTTCAGCCACGCAAAGTGACAAGCAAATGGTTTTGGAAAGGAACACAGAGGGGGCAGAGAGGTAAGCGGTGCCGTATTTCACTCGCAATTCACATAATTTGGCAGCAGCGGCAAATATGAATTAATAATCATTTTGACAATATATCAAAAGGCACACGACACACCAACAACAAACACTAAAATTGTTTAACCCGTCACACCGTTGTGTGTAGAAATAAATGAATGTTCCGCATCTGTCATCATTTTGACAACTTTCGAGTGTCGCATGTCCAAAATCACAAAATCACAATACAAACTCGCAAATAGAGCTTGACGCATATCAAAAATAAGTTTACAAAATGTCGAAATAAATGCAATACACAAATAAATTTGTGAACACTAAATTTGAATAATTTAAAATAGATTTCAGGTGGACACACGTTAAGTGGGCGTGGTCCAGCTGTAGGTAGTGTCTCGTAATTGTATAAACGTAACGAAAAAAGTGTATTGCAAATTAGTCGGATAAATTTTGTTTAATCAGTAAAAGAGCAAAAACCAAAGATCATAACAACTTCCATACAAAGGGTTACTTCCATTTAATCAATTGCCATATAAATCAACTTAATAATATAATTTAAATATAAATATATTATATTTATTCCAAAACCTCGACTTATTGCTCTCTTAAGTCCTAAAAGTAAGCTTTAATCACATATATATATATATATATATATATATATATATATATATATATATATATATATCTTTTAGTTTATTAAATATGTTATAAATTATTTTAAAAAAGCTTGATATATGGGTCATATTTATTGTTCATTTTAATTCAATTTACGTGAAACAAACTAAAAAGATATAAATTCAACGGCAAATAGTTAAAAGACCTGACAATTAAGATAACAATTTTATAGAAAAATACTTTAAAAGAATCTTTTATTTTTTAATTATAAAATCTTTAGTACAGCAGTATTTTATTTTTAAATTGACTTCAATCAAAGTTGCATAAAGTTTCATTAACATCAGCCAACGTCCATTGCACATTTTAATGCATTGTAATTTATCAGCTTGGGTTCAAATAAAAAAATATATAAACTTGTTTGCTTAGTCATTTGATTGGTGTTTGGCATCACACAGCGCAATACCAATAGCTGGCTGGCTATATAAGGTCTGATAAATTCCCCGGCGCCTGATTGCAGCCACAGCAGCAGCAGCAGCATTAAAGCCAGGTGCGCTATTAAATTCGAGTGCTGAGACTCCCCCTAACAAAATGAATGCCGCTAAAAGTGGCAACATATGGAGCGTGACACACGCCCAGCACGAAGTGCAATGCAATTATATATGGTATAACCATGGAGCTTCAATATCATGAACAAATAGCATAGAGTGCAGTTTGAAATAAAACTTTTGGCAAAGTGCCAAACAAATTGGCCGCACAATCATTATAAATACCAACAACATCATCATCATCATTAACAATAGCGTAATAATTATCATCATCATTATTCGTATAGTGATTATTATAATGGTAATAATAGTGATTGAGCAGCAGTCCCAATTATTACACCCAAGACATTTGATATTTGGTGTGAATAAAAACGTTGATTTGACATTGACTCAAAACGCTTCAATTACAAGTTTGAATTTGAATTCAAATCGAGGGGTAACAATTAAGTTGTCAGTGTTGGTCTATGCTGAACTACTCAATACAATCATCCTGCCACAAATTGACACACGTAATTATCATATTCAAATATTCCAAAAAGGTATACAGCAAAATATGATAAAAACTACGAAAAAAAAATACATCATCAGATTTTGGTGCCTTTTGCCAGTCAATTTAAGCAACTATGTTTACCCTTTTGGCAAGCAACGCCCACAAACTGACACACGCCCACAAGTACACCGTACACACACACACACACACACATAAACACAACATCAACAGCAACAAAAGCTACAACGAGCGCAACAACAATGGAAATCGTTGAAGCAATTTCAAATGAACATGAAGCAGTTTTGGCAGCGTCAGTTTGTAAAACTGCTACTGAAACATCAAAGAGCGAAGAGGAGCTCGTTGTTAGGAGCAGGGGATAGGGGTAATGTCTGTAATAGCCAAAAGCCAATATGGTAACCGACATAATCGCTAGCCAGCCAGATTGCTTGCAGTTATGAGCCAAAGAGCTTTTCGTCTCGCGTAAAAAAAAACACAGACAAGCAGTTAAGAGTAAATGCAAAAGAGTCCAACCGAATTCGTGTAAAGTTGGTATTCGTCTAATTTTTGATTTCAAACGTTTAAAATACAATTTTACAATTATGCTTTATACTTTAAATATCTTTTAAATATCGAATTTGTAAGCCATCTTAAGCAATCATATTATGCAAACATATGAATGCATTTTGTATGTATTTGTTTTTATTCACGACTATTATTTTGATCACAGCTGTATAAATATATATATATTTTTTATTATATATATGCATAACAGTAGCAACTAAACTATATCCTTATGAGATATTCAGATCCATGTCAAAAGTTGAATAGCGCATTTAGGATTCGGTTAACTGAACAACTGCACATTATGTCCGTAAGTTTATTGTTATAAGTGAAGTTTAAGCTGTGGCAGCTCTTGGCTGACTTGTTGGTGTAACATTTGGCTAGGATTACACCGAATGCCTCGACTGGCTTGGCATTTCAATTGATTTACTGCGGCAGCTCGAACAACGCAAGCACATTTCACCTTTTCTATTGTAATTTCTTGCTTGCTTTTTTTATTTTTTGTTTTGCCGTGTCGAGTGCATGCATCAATGAATGAATGAACAAATGTGCGATTGAGTGAGGGAAGCAAACAAACAAATACGAGTACGTATTGAGTACTATGTAGTACATACATATACATATATGTTTATATATATATATAATAATATACATGTGTGTGTGTGTGTATTTGTGTCTAAGTATAGACACAGTTGAGAGGCAGCGCGTCAGCAGTCACTTGTACGAATATTTCCGCAGGTGTTGAGTGGCATTTCATTCGATTGTTGTGGTTGTTGTTGGTAGTTGTTTGCTCTTTGTTGTTATTGGTATTGTCTGTGAGGGAATCGTGACATGCAGCTTGACTTGCCATTTGCCACTTGGCCAAACAGCACACAAATTCAAAAGGCGCACTGCTGACGTCACTCACCTCCCCAATAGATAAAGTCTGTTTTAAATACACACATACATTCATTGTTTTTACGACTTCCACAGAGGCAAATCAATTAGCCGGCCCCAGACAAAAGGCCAAACTGCAACTGCAACTCAGTTGCTCGATTCCCTAACCGAAAATTTAATTAAAATCTTTTTGACTGCCGATCAAAATCTTTAACGAAAATTGCTCAATCGCTGAAGCTTGCGACATTTTCAAGCCGCTCTTTGGAGTCGCTTATCTTCCGCTTGGCATCAGCTGGCAAAGGGGCACGACAACAACAACAACTGCAGCAGCAGCCTCAGCAAAGCAGACATAAAAAAAACTCTTTTTGATATTATGTAGATGCATAATCATAAAACAGTCAACGGGCCAAAACCGCTTTTCAATCAACAGCACGAAAAGAGGGCGGATCGCTTGGAAGTCGTAAGATAGGGGTTGTTGTTGTTGTTGTTGTTACTTTAATTGTTGCAGTTGCTTTATATACGGATGTATGATTCAACAACTACGAGAAACTCAAAAAGAGTTCAGTTCAGAAAGTTAACAACATAAAATAAATATATATAATTACAAATATGTGTCAAAGTCAAAAATCATAGAGTTATTATGGGGTCGGAGATGCGTCTGTTTCATACATTGTCCAAAACGATTAGATAAATCGATCAGATAACTGAAGCAATCAAAGTGCGCGCGCAAATATAATATATATAAATATATAATTAAAAAATAAAAATATTCAGCTGTGAACTCACCTGTGAGTGTTACATTGACGTGCATGAGGCCAATGTGGGTGCCAATGCGGGCGGGCAGCTTCTCACGTGAGAAGGCTTTGTATGGTGCAATGATGGTTGCATGTGCCACATGCCACGCGGAGCCCAATCGGGTGACTGCAAGTTGAGAACGAAAACGAAAACGAATTAAAATCTTATGGCACTATGCAAATAGTATATATATTTATATGTATAAGGCCAGCGGGTACTCACTCAGTATGACTAGACCCACAAAGAGGCTGAGTGTGACCGTTGAGAATGTTGTGAACTTCTGTGAATTGAAAATGAAATTGAAATGTAAATTTAAATAAATTATGATGGATGATTATAATGATATGCTTAACTTATTTGTTTGCCTTGGCACTGCATTTGTGTGTGTGTGTGTGTAGTCAATTGGTAATTCCAATTATATAAGACGTAAGTATTATAAAGCCAGTTATGGCCAAAGACGTTGTGCGCTAATTGAATAAGCCACTCAATTGGCCAAGCTAGGTGGCTCAATAACTGACAGAGAGAAAGAGACTGTATATGTGTGTGAGAGACAGAGAGAAAGAGAGAGAGAGAGAGAGAGAGAGGGGGAAAAAGGGCGCGCCCAACAAACCGGTTATAGATTTATATCTGACATCTATTGAATACGTGCCGGCGATTATGATTACAGTTGATTACAGTCTAATAACGAGACGCAGACAAAGCGGCAGCAGCGTGAGAACTCAACTAGAAACACGTTCCACAATCCAGAGACTAGACTAGCCCAAGATACCATTACCAAGTTAATTAAAACGTAATTTGATAAGTGAAATAGAAGCATTAAGCGAGCACATACAAATGCTATACGAGCGTTTAGAACAGGTTCTTTTAACATTGTAAAGCTCAACTTTTTAACAATGCTTAAAATCCTTGACATAAGCATATTAACTGGTTGGAGGAATCAGTAGTTGATATAGCCAAGTTTCTTATAGGTCCAAAAAAGTTCAGACAGTTAAAAACTTGAGTGAATTTCCTGCAGAACAGGTTTAATAAATAAAGCAATTAGTGCGATTAATTCAATTAATGTAGTCGCTTAGAAATTACAATTTTCTAAAATCAAGTAGTACACGAATGCCGGCTTTGACTGTATCTGCAACATTTTTTTCTGGTCAACGGTTACAAACTGATATTCACAGTTTTCAAACCAGCTGTCAAGTAGATTTATTAAATCTAAATTCTGATCAATTAATTTGTACTGAAATGCACAATAAAAAGTAATAATTCGGGCATAACTCGTTCAAATTTATTAAACTCACCTGCTTTCGTACACCCGGAAATATGACCAGAAATGCCACATAGAATGTGGCAAATAGAACAGATACGGCCACAATAGACACATCGCCGGTGACGGGTGTGCGATTTGAGAAGGAATAAAGCGTTGGACCGCCATCGTCTCGAAATGCGTCGAACCAGCCCTTCATGCTAGATTTATATATATATATATGTAATATATGCAGGCGGTATCTGAAAAAAAAAAATGTTAAACAAAAAAATACTACATGAATTGAAATGTCTGCGCAGATTTTCGCAATATTATTTGATGGCTGTGAGACTCAATTAAAATAAAAATAAAATATATAAATATTTATATTTGCATACTTCATATGCGTGCTTGGAAAACGATGCTTAGTTAAGCCAATACCAAAAACTAATGAAACGCAACCGAGCTCATCGTGGGCAGAGACGATTAACTACTTTTCGAAAAAAATGATTATATTATAAATGAAACTGAAAGAACAGTTTCATGTGTGATGCCGAACTTTAAATACTCTTGCAATAGACATACATGCTATATAATATAATAAAATAAATACTTTTATCCTTAAATACTGATACATGCTATATAATATATTAAAATAAATAATTTCATCCTTAAATACTGATAAGTTTACGGCAATATGTCAGTTGGCTAACGTATTAGTATGATTTTTATCAGTTTTTAGTTCAATACCTAAAGGAACTCCTTTATCGTCAAGATATATTTAAGAAAAGAAGGTTTGATATTTATTATAGAAAGAGTATGCATAAGACAAAGATGCTAGCTGCCAGTTTGCAGCTGCCAAGTAGGTTTGCAATTTTGCGAATCGGTTCAGTTCAGTTAGGTTCGGTTCGTGACTAAGCGTTTGCGCTCCAGATGCCGAAATGAAGACTGTGAGACTGAATTATAGACAAGTGGCAGGCAGGCAGGCAGCAGACAACTGGCAGCTGGCAAATGGCAGCCAGCAGAAGGCAGCTCAATGCAACCGAACCGAGCGCTTAATTAGTTGGATAAACAGCGAGCAACCCAAAACTTAGACTGATTTAAATACCCCCACCTAACCGGAAGTGTGCAGATAAAACCTAAAAAAATAAAAACATTAATTAAACAAGCTAGCAAAAAAAATAAGAAGTTGAACAAAGGAATTTGATTTTCAGCACTCGACACAACTTGTTAAAAATTAGAGATTCGGGTTAGAAAAAAATGAAAATAAAAAAAACCAGAAATACTTAAGATTTAGAACCGGATTCGAAACAAAACAAAACTCGCCGGGGGAGGGGGTGAGCAACAACAGAAACAAATGGAAATAATCGTCAGCTGTTGCTCAAATGACGTAGTCAAAAGTTATAATTAAGTGTCGATCAAATAAAATAACTGAAAATTAATAATAGCCTTAGCGTGACGAATATGTAAATACCCTAACCACAACGCGTGCATTGAAAAGCTGATTAGTAGGTTTATAACCTGCAACAGCTGACTAACTGAAACTTGAAGATAATCGAGTTTTAACAAACCGGTTTTTAAGTTTATCGCATTAGAGCCATTAAAATGTTAACGACAAGGCGTTGTTTCGTTAAATTCAATAAACCAGATGTCTAAGAAAACGATACTAAAGATTCAACAAACTTGTATTAAATTTAAAGCTTAAAGACCAAACAAATTAAAGTTTCTCAAATGCTATTTATTGGATATGAAACAAATAAAACATATTCAAATTCAGTATATTAAAGTACGAAGCCAAACTTAAGCTTAAGTTAGAAAGAGGGAACCGACAGCGTGTTAATTATGTTGCTAAGCCAAAACTTTTAAGATGGTAGTTAGAGAAAGTCACAGACAAAGTCAAAAGAGTCAAATACTAATTTGTGTAGCTAGCCGGTTCAAGTTCAAGTTTTAAAAAAAATCGAATTTCGTTATGTTATTGTATATATATAATAAATTTGTATTTAAATAAGCTTAAGTTCTTTTGACTGCTATAAATATTAAAAAAAAAAGACTTTATTCAGAGTTAAGATTGAAATCTATGGAAGTTTAAGAAGCGGTTAACTTACAAAGATCTGTTACAAATTTCCATATCAGTTGTTTGTTGTAAGGTTGTTAGAGCACACAAATATATGTATACAATATCTATTTTTATTTATATTTATTTATTTAATTAATTCACTTTGTTAGACCATTAAAAATAAAAGAAGATATTTGAGAAAAAAATTTGTCAAATACTTAAAACAAATTCATAGAGATTTTTGTATCACACCCTATTACCCAAGGACTGTACAGGGTATACCAAATTAGAATTGCGCATACGCTATGTGTTGAAACACATTGGCACGCGGATGTAAGTGAGTGAAGTCAGTCTTTGGGCATTATTGAAGTGTATTTAAGTGTATCTGCGCAACGGGGTTTTTCCCAAGCAGTGAATACAAGTTCTGGCTTTGTGAAAGTCAACATGGCCCAAGGGGTAATCAGTGCCTGTGTATACCGCAAGAGAGATTTAATGAAGCAATATCTTGACTGAATGACATTTAGGAAAAGAATTATATGAATTCTATGCCAAGCAACATTTAATTGTTCTTACTTAGTTTTAGGCTACTCTTGGCTTAATAAATGTATCATGTGAAAAATAATATATTGCTAATCTGGCTTAGTTTATTAAATATTAGCAAAATTCACTTACCAAACTTGTCAAAAAAAAAAACTGCATATAATTTTGTTTCTGCTTGTTAGTTTTGTTTAAATTGTTGTTTTTAAATCCAATTTAGAATGTCGTTCAATTTTGAGTGCAGTTTAAAAAAGCAGCAGCCGCTAAGCAATGACCAATAAAATTAGCATTTATTATTAAAAATTGATTAATTGATTAAATTTGATTAATGAAGCACTTCACACACACACACACGGACAAACACATGTGTAAACACACACAGGGGAGAGTAACACAAATTGCAAAATGATGCATACAAAATTATTCATTTGTTGTGCTCATATTTCTTTAATAATTTTTTTATATATTTATTTTTTATTTTATTTTTTGTAAGTTTAACTCATTGTTTTCACAGCTTTTAACATATGTTTGCGAAAGCACCGTCTTTTTTATATATATTTTTCCTATTTAAGATTTGAAAACATTTTATTTGATTCGTTAAAATTTGTTGTTGTTTTTTGGTTGTTGTTTTTGTTGCACCCACCGAATGGCTATTATTGTTGTTGGTGCTGTTTATGGTGGTGCTGTAAACCGGTTTGATTTGTAGCCAGCGCCGCCTGACTTTACACATAAAGTGCATTTTATTTTTAAAACCCGGTAATAAATTGTTTCATTTATAATTAGAATTTTCACAGACTGACAGCGAGCAAAGCACGAAAATATTATTTGCAAAACATAAACGAAACATATGTAAAAACTTGAAATCAAAAATCTTATTGGGGCGCCTAATTTGTTGTTGTTGTTGTTGTTGTGGTTGTTGCTGCTGCTGCTGACCTTCGCATAGTTGCTGCAGGAGCTGTTATTATTAACTTGATTGCCCAACAACAACAATAACAGCAACAACAACCACAACAATGCAATTGCTCGGCTGCTGACGTCGACGCTGGACTTGGCACCAAAACGTTAAACGCGTCGGCGCATTGCATGTGGAAATCGTAAAGCACATTACGTTATTACGTTATTTACTACACAACGACTTAACAAAGAAACCAACAAAAAAAAGCTTTGCATGCGTCTGTCAAACAGCAGACTACAACTACAACAATGCCACAAGCATTACAGTTACAAAATGAAACCGAAACTATGCGACGCCAGAGCAAAGCAAAAGCGAAAAAACAACAACAAAAAAGCATCAGCAACGCCCCAGTAAGACACCAACAGCAGCAGCAGCAGCTTCCAATGCAGTTGATAGCCAACCTGTGTCGCTCTCCCTCACACTCTCGTAGCGCTGCAGCTTTTCAAGTCCAACGAAAGTGAAATTACTGTTTGCTCTCCCCTTCTGGCTGCTGCCGCTCTTATGGTTGAGGAAATGAAGTAAACATGAAATTGACATAATCAACGCGACGTAGTGCAAATGTCTGTCGACGTCGCTGCCAGCGTTACAGGTTTTTGTGTCGTGCTGCTTTTGCTTTCTGTTTGCTGCTTGTTTCTTTATGTTGTTTTTGTCGTTGCTATTGCTGTTGCTGTATGTGTGTGTTCAATGAGCGCTGGTGCGTGTAAATATGTAAGAGTCGCCTTCAACCGGCTTTTTGTGCGATTTTTGTTGGTTGTACGGATAGTTTTTGGCTTTTCGCTTTGCTGCACTTTTTGCGCTGGTCAGTTTTGGCGTGGGTCAGTTACAGTTACATGTGCGATCGCAGCATATAGGAAATAAACACCAGATGAAGTAACCGAAAATTACACCTCGAAATAACGTAAAGTGAAGAAAACAAAAAACAACAACAACAACAGAAATGCGCGTCTGTCGGCAAGCTCTTTATAAACATATGCACAAAGAGAGAGCCAAAAAACAAAACGGTAAAGTACACAAAACGCAGACGCGTCCCTCCCCCACCGCCTCTCAAAATAAACAAATGAACGCGCGTTGAGTAAGCGACAATGACACAAAGGCAGAGGGAAAACGTGCATACGAAAAAAATTCATGTAAAGTTTACAATTGTATAAGCGGGAGAGAGAGAGGGAACCAGTAGCTTAAAAATTCTCGCGTTTATTCCTTTTATTTGTATAAGTTTTTAATTTTATAATTCTTGACAGGTTTGATGCATTGTTTAAGAATAAATAAATAAATTACGAATCGTTACTGCATTTTTATTATTTTCGTAAGCAGTACGATTTTTAGTTACATTTTTTATTACAATTTATAAAAATTAAATAATACACTATAAACTTGTGCAAGCAAAATTACAAAAGAGCAGCAACAATTACAAAATACACTTCAATGAATTTTTGTATTTATTTTTGACATTATTAGACGAACAATTTGCACAACTTTTTTGTTAGCACCGATTATACATATATTATTAGACGAACAATTTGCACAACTTTTTTGTTAGCACCGATTATACATATATTTTATTTTATTGCTGTTAATTGCCATTGCACACATTTTTGTGCCCAATAATTTTCACGCACATTTATTTAATTTAATATGAGGCATTTATGTTAACCAAAAACCCAGAGCGAAAAACGAAAAAACGGAGACGAAGTGGAAGACATAAATACAAATAACTAGAAAGAGGAGCACAGTTTGTTGTACCGTTATATTGCAGTCGATTTTTTGTTTGTTTTAGATAAAAGCAAGCTTTTTCTAGTTTTGTTTACCGAATTTTGCTGCAAGTTTATTGGCTATTTTGTATTTGCTATTTGAAATTTAGCTTTACGACCAACGCATGGCGAAAAAAGCACTCTGTTAATGTTGTACGTAATACGTAACTGTTGGCTGCGCCTGTGCACAGCGTTCGCGTCACGTTGCCGTTTTTACTTGCTCGGTTCGCGTCCGCATCGAACGCCTGTCGTTGGCTAACTGAGTGTCGTTAAGCGTTGAGCGCAAGACAAAACACGCGCAGAGAGCGAATACCAGCACGAGCACGAGAGATCCAATTTTGTGGAGAGCGGTGCCAAAAGCTTTTGGCAACTCAAAAAGCTTTCAGCACTGCAGCCATCCAAAGTGAGTGTGAATTTATGATCTAGCCTTATACTAGAGAAAAAAATTACAAATAAAAACTGGACCAGACACGAGGGCTGCTCCTGGTGCTTGGACCTTGCCAGCCTATTTAACCATTTGGGTGACAGCTAGAAAAACTCGCTCACTTTGAGGCGACGACCTTACACTCAATACAAAACTTTATAAGCAAGGCAAAAATTTGCAATTAATTAAAAATAAATAAAATACAAATACAAAGAAAAACATCGCCCAGCAGCTGTCACATTAAAAAATTTTTAAAAAAGTTAATAAATAAATAACGATGACTTTCGTTCATAAGTCGTAGATGGCTGCTAATTGAATTAGCATCGAAATGACCGCTGCATGTGTGTATTGCATGTAATTAATATTTAATTTACTATTTGAATTTTTAGTGCCGACTACCGTGCAACGCCGCCAAAACAGTATTCTTTAATCTGTGCTCGGATCTATAGATGGATGTATGTACATAAGTCGTTAAAGATCTTGACAACAATCACAAATTTGGCAGGCAAACACGAAAGCAGCCAGAACAGCCACTATAGTCGAGCTGTGTGATGCAATTTTTATGATGTGCCAAATTAGCCATAAAACACACAAATCGTATAGTGCATTAACTACTATGATAGCTTTAGTCTATGAGTAGTTGCTGATCCCACATATACATGTATTTAAGATGAGCAAATATATGTGTTAATTAAAAAAGCTAAAAGCATTGACATTAAGGCTTTAATTATCAGTTTTTATATATCGATCTTAAAATATTTATAGTATTTGTAATTCAATACAATACAATACATTACTTGAGACAAATTCTTAATTTCCAAAATCAAATTTTTTTTTTTTAATTTTATCATAATTTAATAATTTTGCTTATTGTTTACTGTTTGATGACCTCTTTTTTATAATTTAATATATGATTTTTTCGCTGGCTCTAGGTAAAGTGATATATTTCTATTTTATTTATTGGTTTTATATTTACTTGAAGTATATTATTTATATTTATTAATTTATTTTAAAGTAATAATAATAATAAAATATGTAAATAAACAAATCTTTATCAGCTGATAATTTCTGTTAAATGATTTTATTTTAAGCTGACTATCGCTGATTGTGCATCTTAAAATAGAATCTGATTATATACAGATGTCAGCTAACTCAATTTATAGCCGTGCTCTACAGAATTTATATTAATAACTTAAATTGGAAGACAAGAACTAAATGTGCCCATCATAAAAGTAGCGAATGGATGGCGTCAAGTTCGTTGCCTAAGTCTTTTGTTCTAGCACCATTTTCATGCCAAATTATCACCTTGAGACAGCATAAAACTTATTGAACTCCAATAATCAATAATAAAAGACGGCAGCCCAAGTCCAAAAAAAAAGAAATAAAAATTAAAAAAGAAGTTAGCAGCTGCTACCACAAAATATAATTTAACTAAATTGGCGCACAAGGTCGTGACGGTCAGTGACTGACTCAGCAGAAGCAGAAGCGCAAATGGAGTGACTGGACGAACTGGATGGGAGCTGGGCCCAGTTTATTGGATTGATGCAAAAGCAACTTAACCGCAGAATGCCCTTTTATAAAAATTGCTAAAATTGTTATTGTTGTTATGTGCATAAATCAAATCAAATCAAATTAATTAAGCAAACATTAAATAAAAAAGAAACTTCTGAGCTACGCAAAATCTGCACCCGGACTTTAATATAAGCCGATAAAAAAACAGAGAAGTGTCGCCAGTGTTTTGGTAACTGGGAATCCGCACAAAACCTGCCGAGGACGGTCGTTGGTCCACCGGACCGAACCCAAAACTAATAGCCAAAAAACGAGATATGGAATATACAATGCGTATACAAATTAAGATACGTGTTTAATTTCAGCATTCATCACACGCGCCAACTGTTCCGACTGACTCAGACAACTTATATCCAGAAGCTCAACTGAATGAAACACACACACACACAACTCAGCAACAACAGCTGCGAATCAAAGAAACAGAGCACTGGAAACAAAAGGGAAAGGGAATCAAGCCACTTAATTATATTTCGGAGTGACGAATGCACTTTACTCAAGTTCAAGGTGAATGTCGAACCGGACACCGGGGCACTTGGGGAAGGGCAACGTGTAATTGTAATGAAAATAATAATAACCATGCGAAGAAGTTGGTGATTGTGTTAATGTTTTATAAGTGATCTGAAATGAGTGTTATCGATATATATGCAAATATAATGTAATGACTTTAGGTATTTATTGATTGGCATATTGCTGATTTTGTATAAAATAGCAAGATACATAAAAAGAAATATATTTTAGCTGCGCAGTCGAGTCTGAGAATCGAATGGAACCGGTATGATCTGTAGAATTTTCAATCTGTAAATTCTGTCAGAATAAAAAACAGAGAAGATGCTCTTTACAAAAAATATACAAGCTAAATCCGCAATCTAAAAATAGTTTTTACAAATATAAAAGTGCCTTAGGCACAGAAAATAACAGCTCGCATCTTTAATAAAATATATTATGTATTTTTAGGCTTTGAGTTTCTATAAAAAATCATAATTACTAGCTATAAATATTTCCCTTATCGTTGTTCAAGGTTTATTCTCGTCAAGTAATTATAGCTCGCGGGATGTATTTCAGATCCCCCAACTACCCAACAGCTGGTGTGAATTCTAATCTCCACATCTTCACAATTTGTATATATTTAATGATCAGAAATGCCATCTCCCTCGCACTAATGCCATTTAATATGACTCCACTAATTACCGCCATTACACAAAAGCGACCCAAATGGCTTCCTCATGTCAAGATTCTACACAAATATACGAATCGAGTAGCACAGATTAGTTATGGCTGTGTGCTCCGTTCAAGCCCCCGGGTTCAAGAACTAACTAACGATTGTATTATTGCATTGCAAGCTGGAGATCTTCACAGAACCAAACAATGACAATATATACGAGATTTCTATGGTTGCCATTAGCGATGAGCGCGTGTTTTTATACTGATTAACTAAAAATATTGTCGTTTTTTGGTTTGTTCTATTTAGCAACGTAAAAAACTTGTTCTTCTTAAGATTCTAATATTAGAAAGATATATTTACATTTTAAATCTGTTTTTCGAGTGTTTTTTTTCGACAGGTTTCGAAATATTTAGGAATATATAAAAAAACAAAAACACAATTGACCTTGACCCAATGAAAAACAGTTTTATTTACATATTTAACCAAAGTTTGTTAATTATTCATTTAAACATGATTTATACTCAGCAATTTCAAAGCGATTTCTCATATTCTATATTACAAAAGAAATAATAATCTTGAATGTGTAAATTTGATTTAAGATTAGATAATTGATTTGATGTCCCTAAATAGAATGATTCTGTTCAAGAGAGAAGAAATGACATACTTCTAAAAGTTTAATTCAAAAACAGAGTATAAATTATTATAATATTGAATACTCAAATTAAATCAAAAATGAATTTATTAATTTTCGTTTTGCAAATCAAAAATGAATTTATTAATTTTCGTTTTGCAATTTCCAAGAAGTTTCGAAAAATATATAAAATTAAAAATTGTGAACTGATTTTAGTCCACATTAAATAAATAAATAGAAAAATATTACAAAATTATATTATAGTGGAATTTCAAATAATTGAACAAAGGTTTTTATGGAACGATTAATTGAGTTTTCATTGTTAGAATCTCGTGTCACGCATTCATCACTAGTATAACAACAGTGTGATGGGTGGGGGGTGCAGATGAGTAACTGCGCACTGAGGCGTTCCATTAGACTGCTGTGCGGCGGCTGTTAGTTAAGATTTTCCTTTCATTTGGTTTATTGTTAATGTGCGCGCTTAACGTCGCACAACTACAAATTAAAACTAATAATAAATGCGCAGAGCTATTGTGTGAGACTTGAATTGAATGCACATCCAACTGGCTGATTATAATTATTATAATAGTAATAATGAAAATAGCCGTGTACGTATCATAATGTGCTGCTCAACGGGGCGTGGCCGCCTTTTAGAATTAACTCAGCTGAGGCGACCTCAGCTCCAGTCCGTGTTTCGCACTGCTAATTAAAACATTATTGCCACTAACCATGCCCCGAGGCTGACTTTGCATGCGGCATCGACGAATGCGAATGCGAATGCGAATCGATCGATAGAAGCCCCAAACCTACAGACAGACAAGTGGCCCCAAAAAGCAAACAAAAGAAGAAAAAAAAACTACATCGTGTATAAAACGGTAGGCAACAGTTGTCAGCTGTCATAAAAAACAGAAACAAAAACAACAACAAATGGCATATAACTGTTAACTAGAAACTGACGAAGTTTTAATACCCTTGCAGATTTGATTACCTATATTCGATGACAAATGATGATCAAAATGAACTAATGACATATTTACCTAAACAAGTTGGAATCAATTTTAAGGTTGACTTATAAATTAAAAAATAAGAGGCGAAAGAGAAAAATATTTATAAAATATCTATGGAAAATGTTATCTGCACTTTGTTACAATATGCAAAAGAACTTACATATATATAAAAGCATAATTAATGTTTTTAAGATAGTCCATAAAAAAAATATAAACAATTTTACAACTCTTGGCAAGTGTATTAAAGCAAAATGAAACAAAAAATCAACTATCGACACACGACAACAAAAACAACAACACTAAAGCGAGTCAATTGTTTATTGATTATTTCATTTGTTTAACGCGCATGCAGATTGTTCCAATTTTGATCGGTTTATCGCCTTTGCAAGCGGACGCTAATAGTTTTGAACCTGAAAATAGTATTTGTTATTTTTTTTTTGTTTTTTGGCATTTGTATG